GGTCTCGCTCTTGCTCAGGCTGGTCTCGAACTCCTGAGCTCAAAGGATCCGCCCGCCTCGGCCTCCCAGAGAGCTAGGATTACAGGCTGAGCCACCACGCCTGGCCTGTGGCAATGTTTTAAATCACAAAGGAGTTACAATGACACATAAAAGGGTATATAAATTCCTGGAAAGGTCCTCAGAAATAAAGGAAAATCCCTTCAACTTAACTCTTTCTTCACTTTCTTCTAGTTCCTCTTAAAAACAGAACAATACAAAACGTCTACCAGTTTTTGTACGATTCATATTTCTATAAAATATTTCCCATGACAAAAATATTTGAACCTTTTAAAAACTTGTGGGTAGATATACACCAGAAGGTCAAAATAAAATGCACTGGATGATGACATCATCTTTGCCAATGCCGAGGTCAGGCTGTAGGAAGCGTCAGGACAGACCTTGCTTTGTTGCTACCTGTATGTCCTGTGCTGAGATGGAGAGTTGCTTAGGTCGGCTTCTTCCCATTTCATCAGGATTTTAATTCACCATCGCTTTTTAAACAAGCAAAGTTTTCCTCATAATTAAAAAGACACACTTAGAATTTGAATAATCACACATTAGAAGTGTCTAAGCTTGCTAATTCTTCATGATATAAATGGTTGCCTCCTTTGATTTTTGTGCAAAAGAACACAAATAAACTTACTTAACACAATGAGATGAAACGAATTCTCTTTTCCCATTTCCTCCTTCTGGAATATCAACCTGGTAAAGACAAAATCAAGGTAACAATTGTATTTTTTCAGATTTTAGTAAGATAAATTTCAGGTTAAGTAATTAGGAAATGCATGATTGAAATCAACCAACCAGTTTAGCTAAGTCTTAAATGGAGTAAGTGGTACCATAGGTGCTAAATGGAAAGAAATCCTGAATTCGAGTTTTGAAAAAAAATGTATAACTTGTGATATAGCTTTTCTTGAGTAAACATTCAATCCTTCTCTTATTTGCTGGAATAAGCACATTAATATCATTCTACTTCTGACTGAGTTTTCTCTGTCTCATGTTCTCCACGTCGAAAACTGCAGCTGTGAAGGACTGGAGATAGAAACCAGGCATCAGGTATTCATGCTGTCATACAACAGCCCTATTCCATCTACTCCAAGTATTGGTAGGATTCTGCAATGCTTCCCTGAACTCAAAATAAAACATTTCAGTAAAACTTGTAGATTCTTTACATATTGATAACTCTGTAATATTCTTTCCTCTTCAATGTGAATAGGGAAGGAAGAAAGGAATTTGTACTTAGTGAGCACCTAGTAAGTGGCAAGCAGTTTATATAATACCTCATTTACAAAGCTCAGTAGAGCTGGGTTGTAATAAAATATTTGGCCATAATGCATGCAGTCTGAAACTACTTAAGGCTCTGAGATTTATATTAAATAAAGCAGAGCCCTTTTTGATGAATTCTAAAGGTTCGAAGTTTTAAAACAATTTTTTAAACTTGTGGGCTTAGAAATAACACTCATACCAATAATGTGGCAAATTCAGTGATTGATTTCAGTGTGGTAATTGTGCTTTCTAAAGTACTGCTTCATTGGGCAGAAGAAAAATGAGGAAGAGTGCTAAAACTAACATTATTCTTAATATTAATTTAGAAAATGTGGTTGAATTTCTCCAAAGAATCAGGGTATATATATACTGGACAATTTTTAAGACCTACATTTCATAATCCAAGAGACTTAAACTCATTTCTATTTGAAAAATATAGATCTTCTGTTATACTTGTTTTTTAAATTTCTGATGTAATGGAAAATTCTTTGTTTTTTTTCCTCCAAATAAGCTGTTAATGCTGAACTATTGAGTCCAGGTTTATTGGTATTTCAGGGTATCAATAAGTTGTATCAGGGACTGAGTCATATTCCTCCTATGTATGACTACAGAGACAGTCTGTTCGAGGGGTAGTTTCATTTTACCCCCATGTTTCATGGCCTCCTGGGCTTAGCGTGTAAAGCTCCAACATACATGTATGCTTTCACAAGTTAGGTCATGAGGGTGTATAAAATTCTGATGCTTTTTTTTTTTTTTTTTTTTTTGAGACAGAGTCTCACTCTGTTGCCCAGGCTAGAGTGCTGTGGCGTCAGCCTAGTTCACAGCAACCTCAAACTCCTGGGCTCAAGTGATCCTTCTGCCTCAGCCTCTCGAGTAGCTGGGACTACAGGCATGCGCCACCATGCCCGGCTAATTTTTTTTTATATATATTTTTAGCTGTCCAAGTAATTTCTTTCTATTTTTTTAGTAGAGACGGGGTCTCGCTCTTGCTCAGGCTGGTCTCAAACTCCTGAGCTCAAACAATCCGCCTACCTCGGCCTCCCAGAGTGCTAGGGTTACAGGCGTGAGCCACCGTGCCCGGTCGAAATTCTGATGCTTTAATATAATTTTCCCAATCAGATTAGAAATTACGTGAGAAACCATTAATGAACCACTATTTCCAGTAAAGTACTTTAGTATTCCCAAGCTGATTTTTTTTAAAAGATGGAAATAAATGGGAATGGAAAAGATGAAAGAAAACCAAAATAAAATGCACTCCTAAGAAAAGAAGTGGTACCATAACCTCAGACAACATCTATGCAGGACATCTAGTACCATTCAATTCATGTTTACTGAATGTCTCAAAGAATTAACATATATCTTTAAGTGCTTAAACACCCCCCAAGAACAGTTGATTCACCAGTTGACCTGTAGTGGTGGTCCTTCACTTGAGGATTTCAGATAGCATTTATATATTAAGTTCCAAAGCCCCATAATATAATAATAATAATTAACCATTACCTAATTGAAAGAATCTTTATTTTTGAATTTTTCAAATGCCAAATAAATCAATGGAAGAGAGAGAACTAGAACCAAAGAATCTAAGTTTCTGGTTTTTTTTTTCCCCAACCTACAAGTCACACAGAACCCACTGACAATATGACCACTTAAAACAAGCACGATCCACTTACAATGACTTTGACATAGTTGGCAGGAAATATGCCAATCCGGTTTCTACAGTTCCCTCTGTACCAATCTGTATCTATCTTTTCCAAAAGATAAACAATTTCTCCAGAAGTGAGGTTCAAATCATCAATTTGCTCTGTAATATAAAATTATAGTTATGTATGATGAATTATGCTGGTTGCAGATTTGATTAGATCACAAAGTAGCATTTAGTTCTGTCCACTGAGGCTATATTTTCTACTGATTGTGAGAACAGATTATACAAATCAAATTGACTTTTTAAAAATATATATATTTTTTTGGATATTGTTGTTATGAGCTCCCTTTTTAAACACCAAATTAGATATATTTACCATGCATTGATTGATGGGAAATGATTTAAAAAAACATTGTGCTAGGCAATGATTCCTACTGTGCCAATATAAATCCCTTGCTGAATACACATTGAACAATGAAAGGGTTTTATAGACATAGTATAATATTATCTTTATTCTCAATCATGCTTAAAAATCATTTCAGTTTCAAATACTAAGGGAATATTACAGTCGGCTCTTTAGCAAATAAATTTACTTTCCACAATAAAACAAAAATCAGTCTATCAAGTGGATAAAAAGGAATTGTAAATAAATCTGGAGTTTATTTGTAGGCTTGGATATAAACGGTATTTAAAAAATGATTACAAAAATATTTATATTTTGATCTCCTAGATAAGCAGTAGCTGAGACAACTCTTATGACAGAAGTACTTTGCTTATTAAGTTAGAATTCACTTATTAAGTTAGAATTAACTTTATTACAAATGTTAATTAGTACCTACTATTTTGAAACAGCTAAAAAGTTTGCAACTGGTTGCAATTTGTTATTGTTCATTTGTAAGGGGAACATCCTCTCTCTTTCTCAGGGAGTTTGAAAGGCAAAGGTATGCAACCAAGCTTTCTGGAATGACTGGGTGCAATCAATCCTTGCTGAAGGTAGAGTGCTGGATAAGATGACCCCTCCAGTCTAGGACTCTATAGGCAAAGAAAATGAAGAAGGAGGTTCCAGAGAGGATGCCTTGCTCCTGGATCTATGGCTCTACCATTTTATTATTTATGTCCTTACCTGCTGGAAAATCATGAAGAACAACAGCGTGAGGAGTGCTACTGTCAACAGGCTTCTGAGCGTGGATTGGATCCTTATGGGGAAAACAGGGCTGTGAATGAAGTGTGCAGGATAGATGGTGGATTTATTATTCACTCTGAGACCAATTTTTTCCCCTCATTAGAGTCCTCTTGACACAATTACATTGTAAGTTCAAGATGCAAACCACACAGTTGAGCCAAACAAGGGAATCATTATCAAGTTGAAAAAGAATGTGTCCTTGCCAAGGGAGGACGAAAATAACTCTTAATTATAACATCCCCTAGTATGTTCTGTTTTTGTTTTTTTTTAAACTGAGAGAGTAAAGCAAAAGGGAACTGTTTAACTGTTTTTTTTAAACAGTACCTATTTCACCCTAAAGTAGTGGTTTTTGACCTCTTTCCCTTTCAAGGGTAGTTTTTCCCTTAAACTTTTGATCAGGACTAAACCTTAAGAACAGAGCTGGCCAGGCGTGGTGGCTCATGCCTGTAATCCTAGCACTCTGGGAGGCTGAGCTGGGAGGATCACTTGAAGTCAGGAGTTCGAGACCAGCCCGAGCAAGAGAGAGACCCTGTATCTACTAAAAACAGAAAAAAAAATTGGCCAGGTGTGGTGTTACATGTCTGTAGTCCTAGTACTTTGGGAGGCTGAGGCAGGAGGATTCCTTGACCCTAAGAGTTTGAGGTTGTGTGAGCTAGGCTGATGCCATGGTACTCTAGCCCAGGTGACAGAGCAAGACTCTGTCTCAAAAAAAAAAAAAAAAAAAAGAACAGAGCCTTAAAAATTGTGTCTTCATTAGGATAGGTAAAGAAGAAAGTCCTGCGACTTATGCTCTTGCCTTTTGTAATGAAAAGAGCTAATGACTTTCCACAAAGTATAATTCACAAAAAGTAAAATCCATTTCATTCATTACCACTTAACTGAATGCTTTCTCTCATTTGAAAGCAATGCTACCTCCCATGCCTGGCCTGCATTTTGTATTTAATCTGAATGTTTTCTTCAACAGTAATTCTAAGTAAATTAGCAAAAAGCATCTAATATTCTCTATCTATCTAGCCAACTGCCTAGATTGGCTAGAGGAGAGAGTAAAGTTCAAGAGTGATCTTTTCTTTTTTTCTTTTTTTTTAAATTTCAGCATATTATGGGGGTACAGATGTTTAGGTTACCTATGTTGCCCTTGCTCCCCCTCACCCCCCAAGTCCGAGCTTCAAGCGTGTCCATCGCTCAGATGGTGCACATCAAACTCTTTGTGTATGCATTTTCCCGTCCCCTCCTCCCCCTTCCCCCTGCCCGACGTCCAATAGATGTTATTCTTATACGTGCACTTATGTGTTGATCAGTTAACACCAATTTGATGGTGAGTACATGTGGTGCTTCTTTTTCCATTCTTGGGATACTTCACTTAGTAGAATGCGTTCCAGCTCTATCCAGGAGAACATAAGAGGTGCTATATCACCACTGTTTCTTAAAGCTGAATAGTACTCCATGGTATACATATGCCACATTTTATTAATCCACTCACGTAGTGATGGACACTTGGGTTGTTTCCACATCTTTGCAATTGTGAATTGTGCTGCTATAAACATTCGAGTGCAGGTGTCTTTTTCATAGAGTGTCTTTTGTTCTTTTGGGTAGATGCCCAGTAATGGGATTGCTGGATCAAATGG